GTGCAGCACGGTGAGCTGCAGGGTGGCGGCGGCCGCGGGCCCGGAGGACAGCAGCGGCGGCAGCTCGAAGGTGGCCTCCTCGCGCCACACAGGCGCGCCCAGGCTGCGCTCCGACACCGAGGTGGCGTACTTCTCCTTGCCCACCTGGATCACCGCGTACGCGTCGCTCGTGCCCCCGGGGCCCTTGGCCCGCAGGCCCCGCGCCTGCAGCACCGTCACCTGCACGTGGGTTGGGGACCACACGGCCCCCAGGCCCCGGCCCGCCGAGGCCATTAGGGACATGGTGACGATAACGCCCCAGACGCGATGAGAAGATCGCAGCGACTGGCGGCCTCTACGGCCCGCCCCGGCAACCAGGCCACTTTAAGGCTTCCGGCCACACCCCCGCCAGGCCACGCCCCTCACGGCTAAGGCCACGCCCCTGCCCGAGCCGCCTGCTCCACCTGCTGCGCCGCGCCGCGCCGCGCCCCGCCCCCCTCCACCGGCCTCATCAGAGTGGGCAGCTCGGGGCCACCCGGCGCCGCAGGCGGGGCTGGCGCGGCCAGGTAGGCGGGGGAATCACGTGGACAGGGCGGGTGCATCGAGAATCCGATCTGAGATGTGGTAGGTGACGGATGGGGTCCCCAGCTGCCAAAGGTCGCACGGCGGGAAGGAGCTGGCCGAAGAACTGACTTGGAAGTCAGACCTCATTTCCTGGGTCACATCGCCAGTCGTGGCCTTGCGCGGGTTACCTAACGTCAAGTCTCAATTTCTTCACCTGACAGGCACCTCCTAGGATTGCTGTAAAAAATAATAATAATAATAATGCATTACAGTTCTTGGCCCAGTGCCTGGCTCATGGTGAGTTGTCAGTAAATAACCATGACCAGCACGTTGAGAGGCTGAGACGGGAGGCTCTCCTGAGCCCAGGAGTTCGAGACCAGCTTGGACAACATAGCCAGATTCCTGTCAATACAAAAAAAATTAAAAATAATTAGATGAGAGTGGTGACAAGCGCCTGTGGTCTCAGCTACTTGGGAGGCTGAGTCTGGAGGATCTCTGGAGCCCAGGAGGTCGAGGTGCAGTGAGCCGAGATTGTGCCACTGCACTCCCAGCCTGGGCAACAGAGCAAGACCTTGTCTCAAAAAAATAAAGTTGGTAACTATGAGGGTGCTAAGGAAGATGCCCACCCAGTTCACTACGCTTTCTACTTCTCCCGCTGGAAAGCCTTGCTCTGGAGGAAGGCAGCTGCGGAGGAAGGTGAGGACCTTGTGAGGGCCGGAAAAGGTGAAGGTATCCTGGGGGGCATGAGTTCAATGTGGGAGTGTCCTATTTTGCCCTCCCCTCACCAGATAAGGCAAGGCTGAGTTAGAAAAAGGGAAGAAAGGAGGAACTGAAAATGGGATTGCCAAATCAAACATCGGGACAGTGGCAGGCCCCTAGCCCGCAGTTCCCCATTTCTCCCTTGCCAGGCCCTCTTTAGTCTCTCCCTGCCTCTATCCCTGGGCTCCCAGGCAGTCCTTTTCTTGTTCCAAATGCCTAATAGATTGGCTGCTTCCCTTCATTTCCCAGGTCCTAGTTCAAAGGCTCAACTGTTCAACTGAGTCATCAGATTGGAAAGGTCACTTGGAAGGTTTTAAAGTTTTACAGTTACGGAAAGGCTCAGAAGAGAGGAGTGACATGTCCAGGGTCCCTCTGCAGAGCTGGGACTGGGATCCCAGTGTCCTGACTCCCAATCAGCTGTTCAGTGCATCTCTTGATTCTTCCAGATCCACAGAACCCCAGTCGTGGATGGCTACTCATGTCCCTCCAATCTCCAGGTTCTCCTCCCTCTGGTCCACACTGCACATTGCTTCACTAACCTGCTGGCTGCCTCACCAGCAACCACATTATCTTCCGATTGAACAGAGATTTCAAGACATTCCATTTTGGCCCCACCCTACCTCATTCTCCTCTATCTCCCGAACAAGCAAACCTGTAGCCCAGACACTTTTTACCTCCAGGCCTCTATGTTGTACCCTTGACTGTCCTTGCCAACCTCTCACTGCAAGGGTTCACTCATATTTCTCCAAGATTTTACTTTCTATGCCCTGCTGAAGGCAGGGACCAGGCGGTAACTTATTCAACTTGTCTCCTTCACAGCCTCCAGCACAAACCTGGGTACACAGTAGGTACCCAGGAAGTGCTACTGAACTGAAGAGTTTGCAGGTTAAGTCGGCCAACCATGAGGACCAAGTGTTTCCTTTTACCATGTAGGAAATTAGAAGACAGAGGTATGCCTCAGGTTTGCTACTGAAGGCAGCTGCAGTGCGGGAAGGACCTGTTTAGTATGTTGGAATTTTTCTTTTTTCTTTTTTCTTTTTCTTTTTGGAGACAGAGTCTTGCTCTGTCACCCAGGCTGGAGTGCAATGGCGCAATCTCAGCTCACTGCAACCTCTGCCTCCTGAGTTCAAGCAATTCTTGTACCTCAGCCTCCCAAGTAGCTAGGATTACAGGTGTACACCACCATGCCCGCTAATTTTTGTATTTTTAGTAGAAATGGGGTTTCACCATGTTGGCCAGGCTGGTCTTGAACTCCTGACCTCAAGTGATCTGCCCACCTTTGCCTCCCAAGGTGCTGGGATTACAGGTGTGAGCCACTGCACCTGGCCATGTTGGAAATATGTAAAGGTGATGGGAGGAGCGGGGGAAAGGACCCAGCAGGCATAGAAGGGGCAAGAAAGCCTAACAGGACTGTGTTGTTTTGGTGCCATTTTCCCTTCTGGATGATCCATTATACTCATTCAACATTATGGCTCAATTAATTTCCATAAAGGCTTCTTGAGGCCAGATGCAGTGACTCACACCTGTAATCCCAGTGCTTTGGGAGGCCGAGGTGGGAGGATCGCTTGAAGCCAGGACTTCAAGACCAGCCTGGGCAACACAGCAAGATCTCATTACTACAAAAAGATAAAAAATAAAACCAAAAATTAGCCAGGCATGGTGGTACGCCAACTATAGTCCCAGCTACTCAGGAGGCTAAGGTGAGTGGATTACTGAGACCCAGGAGTTTGACGCTACAGTGAGCTATGATTATGTCACTGCACTCCAGCCTGGGCAATAGAGCGAGACCCTGTTACGATTTATTTAGCACTTGCTTTGTGCTAGACATGTGCCAGGTGCTACCAAGGGCACAAAGCTGAATGAGACTCAGTTCCAAGGTACTCCATCATCATCTAAAAGAAATTCTGATTACTATGATGCTTTGGGTGTTTTGAGGAAAGAGCGATTTCTGTAAGTTGGTGGATTTTTGTGAAGCAGGAGGGGCTCAGCTGGGCCCTAAAGGATGTATCAGATTTGACAGAAAGAGGAGGAGACATATGAGAAGAGCATTTCAGGAGACAACAGGAGAACAGCCTATGCAAAGATATGGGGACCAGAGAGTCGTGGCATTTCCAGGTTTCACATACGCCATTGTGACTGGAGTGTAGGATGCTTTAGGAGGCCACTGAGAATGAGTGGTAGAAATAAGACAGAAATAGGACAGGCTGGGCTCAGACCATGAACACCAGGCTAAGGAGTTTATGCCACAGTGTGAGACTGGGGAGCCAGCCTTCAGAGAACTTTGAGCAGTGACCTGGTTAGGCTGTTCTCAGATTGCAAGGAGATATGAGCAGAAGGAGCCCAGCAGCCAACAGCTTGGCAGGCAGGTCACAGCCAGATGCCTTCATTCATTTTCACCTGGGGATTGTCTGCCTTCTGCCCCAATCTGTCTACCCCTTCCCCATCTTGGAGTCTCTTCTAAGTTGGTACTGAATTAAATAAGAGGGTATACACTTTCCTCTTGATTATCCCACCTGTCCAATGTTCTACTACACACTAGCCGAACAAAGTCATAGATTTCAGTTCAAAACTGACCTGGGGAGGTAGGGCACAGCGTCTCACACCTGTAATCCCAACACTTTGAGAGGCCAAGGCTAGAGGATCACTTGAACCCAGGGGTTCAAGACCAGCCTGGGCAACATACTGAAACTCTGTCTCTATAAAACAAACTTCAAAAATTAGCTGAGTGTGGTGGCGTCCACCTGTGGTCCCAGCTACTAGGGAGGCTGAGGTGGGAGGATTGCTGGAGCCCAGGAGTTCAAGGCTGCAGTGAGCTATGATTGCACCACTGCACTTCAGCCTCGGCAACAGAGTGGGACCCTATCGTTAAAAACAAACAAACAAACAAACAACAGAGCCTGGGAGGAAGTTTTTCAGCTCTAGTCCCCCCTCTCCTCTCCAACACTCACATTTTTAGTGCTGCTCCCCCAATAAAGAGAACAAGGCATAAAGCCTAGCTGGACAGCCTCCCCAGCTGAGTATGAAACAAAGCGTGTCTTCCACTCATGGAAAGGATTAGAGGACAAAGAGGGTGGGGAAGGACCTGTGACCTCATGTGTTTGAGTTTCTGTGAGACACAAATAGACTTTGGTGAAAGCCGATGTGGTAGTTTGGAGGCGGGCACAGCTGCCTCACCACCCAGGAGAAATCCAGACCATTCTCATCAGACACTGGCCACTGGCAGGGGTTAGCTCAAAGGAGTGGGGGCTTCCCAAGACAGGAACTGGAAATTTTTCAGAGAAGAGAGCGGCCGGAGCCCCAGCACCAGGTGTGCCGCAGAGCTGCCTTGCTGCCTCCAGCTGCTTTGGTGGCTGCTTTTTCCCCCTCCACCAGCCCAGAGCACTGTCCCCACGACTCTCTGCCCAGGAGTCACTGTCTTCTCCCAATTTTCCAGACCCAGAATCCAGGCTGGGGGATGCACAGGGACAACAGCAAGGGCAGTGACAAAGTGGGCACCCTGCAGGCCCCCAGCTCCCCGCCAGCCCTGGGAAGACTCCACCGTGGCCGACCCTCCCCGCTCCCAAAGGCCAGGCCGTGCTGGCCGGCTGAACCCGCGCAGTGTCACTGAGTTCCAGGAGTGTTTGTAAATACCTCCCGCAGCCAGTTGCAGCGGCGGGACAGGAGAGCTGCACCTTCCTCCCACCCTGCCCCGCCTCTAGCTCGGACTGAAAGAGGAAGAGTTTCAATCAGCCCTGAGCACGTGGACAAGCCTGGCAGGTTAGACTGGACAGGTGAGACACCTGTCCTACTTCAAAAACAGCAGAGCAGAGAGTGCTAGGACTCCCAGCCACCTGGATGGTCCTGGGCAGCCGAGCTGTGCAGTTAGAGCTGATGAGAAGACAGGGCTGTGTCTAGGCCAGCAGGAAGCACCTCTTGCATAAGAGAGTCTCTGGTGCCATGCTGGGGGAGAGGAGAAAAGGGGTTCCAGGGAGAGAACCCTCCTGGCAATCACTCCCCCAGAGCCCTTCAGTGTCCCTGATCACCCTGCTGCAGGGACACTAGCTCAGAAACCATCTCTGGGGACTCCAGGTGGGCTCTTGTGCTATCCTATGGAGGAGCAGAAAGGGACTGGAAATGGCTCCTTGACCTTCTGCTTTCCTTCAGACTCTGGGGTGTGGTGACAAACATCCACACAGGGTGATTCACTCACCTGGCTCTGAACAGGTGTCGGGCTTCCCCGTGTCCAGCTGCCTCAGCCTCCTGCCTGCTTGGTTGGCCGTGGGCACCTTCCAGGTGTAGGTTTGAGGAGCAAGGGCTTCCTGCCTTGTGGGGTCAGTGAGAAGCAGGGAGGTCGAAGTGCCTGACATCGGGTTCTCTTTCCCTTGCTCCAATAGCTGTGGCAATGTGGAGGTTGAAACTGTGGCCCAGGCACCTTGGTGGCTGTTTTCTCCCCTTCACCAAGGCAGAACACATTGTCCTGAGACTCACTGCAGTCCCCGCAGTGCTGCAATCACAGCTCACTGCAGCCTCAAACTCCTGGGTTCAAGCAATCCTCCTGCCTTAGCCTCCCAAGTAGCTGGGACTACAGGCACACACCACCATGCCTGGCCAATTTTTTAAAATTTTATTGTAGAGACAGGAGTCTTGTTGTGTTGCCCAGGCTGGTCTTGAATTCCTGAGCTCAAGCAATCCTCTTGCCTCAGCCTCCCAAAGCAGTGGTTTGTAGGCACGAGCCACCGTGCCAGCCTGTACTTCACCTCTGCGTTACCATTTCTAGCTTTCCTGATTGCTTGCAAATAGAAGGCAGTTCAAGGTAAGTAGATCCATAAATGACATGCAAGCCTTCGGCATGGACAGAAAACTGGACAGAAAATGATCTCAACAGGTAAGTGGCTAACCATTTCCCCTGCAACCTTGTTAAGAGGATGGCTTTGTTGAACAAAGCTTATGTTATAGATAATGCAAACGTATTGTCTTTCCAATTTGTCAGGTCCCCTCAAAGAAGACCCCTGGATCCCTTAAATACAATGTAGTAGAAAATGTGCACCCCTTTCCTTCCCTTCCCACTACACAAATCCCTCCTTTAGGCCTGTCCTAGCCAGATTGCTTCTGTTTCCTAGTTGATTTCTTATGCTTTATTCAGGACTTGCTTTATTCACTTGGAATCATCTCAAAAGCAGGAAATGGGCACCTCACCTTTGTTTCTTGTTTTGTTTTTTTGTTTGTTAGTTTGTTTTTAGAGACAGGGTCTCACTCTGTCGCCCAAACTGGAGTGCAATGATGCAATCATCACTCACGGTGTTATGGGATAGAAAGTCTTGACTGTGAGTTGTCCAGGTTCTTGATACATTAAAGAAAGAATTGAACAAAACACACAAAGCAACAAAAGGAAAAAGCAACAAAAGTGCAGATTTATTCAAGTGAAAGTGCACGCCACGGAGTGGGAGCAGGCTCGAGCAAGTGACTCAAGAGCCCCGATTGCAATGTTCTTTAGGGTTTTTATTAAGCTAAAAGAATTTGGTAACACCCCAGGTGCCCTTTAGAGGCCTCCATTGGTTATACCCTATGACGGATTGGTACACAACAAATCAGAGTCTGAAGTGTTATCACAGGAGTGAGGATGTGGCCTGGATGCTGCCTAATCTTGCCTAGAACTGGCTGCACCTGTTGTTCTTTTGCTTATGCCTTAACCCTTAGTTACCCTAATTCCCTATTCTCCTGCCTCAACTGCAACCTTGAACTCTTAGGTTCAAGCGATCCTCCTGCCTCAACCTCCCAAGTAGCTGGGACTACAGCTGTGTGCCACTATGCCCGGCTTTCTTATTTTTTGTAGAGATGAGGTCTCACTGTGTTGCCCAGGCTGGTCTCAAACTCCTGGCCTCAAGCTGACCTCCTACCTGGGCCTCACAAATCAGTGACTTGCAGGCATGAGCCACTGTAGCTGGCCAGTGCTTCACCTTTCTATCACCATTTCTAGTTCTCCTGATTCTTTGTAAATAGAAGGTAGTTCAAGTTAAGTAGAACAGACATAAATAACTTGCAAAGCTTCAGCATCTGTCCATTCAGTCCTTGCCACCTTTAGCACTACACTGTGTATAATTAGCTTTCTAAAATATAAGGTTTAGGCCAGCATAGTGGCTTATGCCTGTGATCCTAGCACTTTGGGAGGCTGAGGTGGGAGGATCCCTTGAACTCAGGGATTCAAGATCAGCCTGGGTAGTAACATAGTGAGACCCCCATCTCTATCTTTAAATTTAAAAATTATTGTTTGGCTGGGCACACCTATAATCTCAGCGCTTTGGGAGGCCGAGGAGGGTGGATGACTTAAGGTCAGGAGTTTGAGACCAGCCTGGCCAACATGGCAATACCTGTCTCTACTAAAAAAAATGCAAAAATTAGCCCAGCGTGGGTACCTGTAATCCCAGCTACTCAGGAGGCTGAGGCACAAGGATCGCCTGAACCCAGGAGGTAGAGGTTAAAGTGAACTGAGATTGTGCCACTCCACTACAGCCTGGGCAACAGAGTGAGACTCCATCTCAATATGTGTGTGTGTGTGTATATATATATATTTGTTTTCTGATGCTAAAAATACATCTGTTCATCGTAAGTGAGGCATGGTAGCTCACACCTGTATAGTAACATTTTTTTTTCTTTTTTTGAGATGGAGTCTCATTCTATTGCCCAGGCTGGAGTGCAATGATGCGATCTTGGCTCACTGCAAACTCCACCTCCCATGTTCAAGCGATTCTCCTGCCTCAGCCTCCTGAGTAGTTGGGATTACACACACACACCACCATGCCAGGCTAATTTTTGTATTTTTAATAGAGACAGGGTTTCACCATGTTAGCCAGGCTGGTCTGGAACTCCTGACCTCTGGTGGTCTGCCCATCTCAGCCTCCCAAAGTGCTAGGATTACAGGTGTGAGCCACCGCACCCAGCCAGTAATAAGATTTTTTAAAACAAGCTTCATTAAAATGTAGCAGAGCTATAATAAAGGAAAGAGGATGAAAAGAAAAATGTATTATAGCCATCCTATGCAGAAAAAGTGTACCTTAGCCGGACATGGTAGCGGGAGCCTGTAGTCTCAGCTACTCAGGAGACCGAGGCAAGAGAATGGTGTGAACCCGGGAGGCAAAGCCTTCAGTGAGCCGAGATTGCGCCACTGCACTCCAGCCTGGGCAACAGAGCAAGACTCCGTCTCAAAAAAAAAAAAAAAAAAAAGATAAAATGTACCAAAATGTTTGGTTTGGTGAATTTTCACCACCCAGGTAAAGAAATAGTATCAGCACCTACAGAAATCTGCCTGTGAGTCCTTCCCAGTCCCCCTCCTCTCCAAAAGTTACCCCTGTCCTAATTTCTATCTTCATACATTAGTTTTGCTTTTTTTTTTTTTTTTTTTTTTTTTAAGAGACAGGGTCTCATTTGTCACCCAGGCTGGAGTGCAGTGGCATGATCATAGCTTACTGCAGCCTCAAACTCCTGGGCTCAAGTGATCCTCCCACCTCAGCCTCCCAAGTACCTGGGATTACAGGTGTGAGCCACCTCGCCCAGCTTAGTTTTGCTGTTTTTGAACATAAGTGAATCAAACATTTATCAGACATTTGGGTCTGGCCTTTTTTTTTTTTTTTTTTTTTGAGACAGCATCTTGCTCTGTCGTCCAGGCTGGACGACTCACTGCAAGCACCGCCTCCTGCGTTCAAGCAATTCTCCTGCCTCAGCCTCCTGAGTAGCTGGGATTACAGGAACCCACTACCATGCCTGGCTAGCTAATTTTTGTATTTTTAATAGAGACAGGGTTTCACCATGTTGGCCCAGGCTGGTCTCAAACTCCTGAACCTCAGGTGATCCACCCACCTCAGCCTCCCAAACTGCTGGATTACAGGTGTGAGCCACTCCACGCCCGGCCAGTCTGGCTTCTTTTTTTCTTTTTCTTTTTTCTTTTTTTTGAGACGAGTCTGCTCTGTCACCCAGGCTGGAGTGCAGTGGCTGGATCTCGGCTCACGCAAGCTCCGCCTCCCGGGTTCACGCCATTCTCCTGCCTCAGCCTCCCTAGTAGCTGGGACTACAGGCACCCGCCACTCGCCCGGCTAGTTTTTTGTAATTTTTAGTAGAGACGGGTTTCCACCGTGTTAGCCAGGATGGTCCTCAGATCTCCTGACCTCGTGATCCACCCGTCTCGGCCTCCCAAAGTGCTGGGATTACAGGCTTGAGCCACCGCGCCCGGCCCAGTCTGGCTTCTTTCAATCAGCATTATGTTTATGAGACTCACTAATGCTGTTCCTGTAGCAATAATTTTTTCATTCATATTGGTTTATAGTATTCCATGGTATGAATATACCACAGTTTATTTTCCATTCTAAAGCTGATAGGCATTCATGTTATTTGTAGTCTAGGGCTTGCAGTGGACTGAACACTGGCTCTCCAGAAGATATGTCCATGTCTTAATCCTCAGACCTGTGAATGCTACCTTGTTTAGAAATAAGAGTCTCATGGGGCGTGTGAGAAATAAGAGTCTCACATGCATACAGGCATGCACCTGTAGTCCCAGCCACTCAGGAGTCTAAGGCTGGAAGATTGCTTGAGTCCCGGAGTTCTGGACTGTAGTGCACTAGGTTGCTTTGGTGTCTGCAGTAAGTTCAGCATCAATCTGGTGAGCTCCTGTGAGCATGGAACCACCAGGTTGCCTAAGGAGGGGTGAACCATCCCAGGTTGGAAACGGAGAAGGTCAAAACTCCTGTGCTGATCAGTAGTGGGATCATACCTGTGAACAGCCACGGCACTCCAGCCTGGGCAATATAGTGAGACCCTATCTCTAAAATAAATAAATTTTATATATATAACAAGAGTCTTCGCCAATGTAATTAAATTAAGGCCCTTGATATGAGACGATCATCTCGGATTATCCAGAAGGACCCTCACTCCAGTGACAAGTGTCCTAACAGAACAAGGCAGAGTGAGACTACACAAACAAGAGGAGACAGTCCTGAGAAGGAGGAGGCAGAGATGAGACTGATGCATCCACAAACCAAGGAATGCCCAAGGCCACCAGAAGCCAGAGGACACAAGTGACAACACCTCCTTAGAGCCTCTGGACAGCGTTCAACCCTGCTGACACCTTCATTCTGGACTTTTGACCTCCAGAACTGACAGTGAGAAAATAAATATCTGTTGTCTTTTTTTTTTTCTTTTTTTTAATTTGAGATGGAGTCTCATTTTGTTACCCAGGCTGCAGTGCAGTGGCACAATCTCAGCTCACTGCAATCTCTGCCTCCCAGGTTCAAGCAATTCTCCTGCCTCAGCCTCCCAAGTAGCTGGGATTACAGGCGCCCACCACCATGCCTAGCTGATTTTTGTATTTTTAGTAGAGACAGGGTTTCACCATGTTGGCCAGGCTGGTCTCAAACTCCTGACTTCAGGTGATCTGCCCACCTTGGCCTCCCAAAGTGCTGGGATTACAGGTGTGAGCCACTGCGCCCGGCCATCTCTTGTCTTAAGCCACCCAGTTAGTGGTAATTTGTGACAGCAGCCACAGGAAGCGAATACAGGGGTATGGGGAATAAAATTGCTCTACATTCTCCTCTTTCAGTGCATAGACATAAGTGTGCACCCACACCCAAGAATGGAATTGCTGGATCAAAAGGTGAGTGTATGTTCAGCACTAAGGGATATTGCTAAACAATTTTCTAAATAGGTTATACCAATTTATACTCCCACCAATGTTTGAGATCCAGTTTCTCCACATCGTTGTCAACCTCAGTGCTATGGTTTGAATATTTGACCCAACCAAACCTCATGCTGAAATGTGATCCCCAGTGTCGGAGGTGGGACCTAATGGGAGGTGTTTGGGTCATGGGGGCGGATCCCTCAAGACCTCAGGGCAGCTTGGTGCAGTCTTGGAAGTAGTAAGTTCTCGCTCTGTAAGTTCCTGTGAGGGCTGATTGCTTTCTTTCGTTTTGTTTGTTTGTTTTTCTTTGAGACGGAGTCTCGCTCTGTCACCCAGGCTGGAGGGCAGTGGCGTGACCTCGGCTCACTGCTACCTCCGCCTCCCAGGTTCAAGCAATTCTCCTGCCTCAGCCTCCTGAGTAGCTGGGATTACAGGCTCCTGCCACCATGCCCAGCTAATTTTTGTATTTTTAGTAGAGACGGGGTTTTGCTGTGTTGGCCAGGCTGGTCTTGAGCTGCTGGCCTCAAGTGATCCACCCGCCTCTGCCTCCCAAAGTGCTGAGATTACAGGCATGAGCCACCACGTCCAACCTGGGCTGGTTGTTTAAAAAAAAAAAAAAAAAAGCCGGGCGCGGTGGCTGACGCCTGTAATCCCAGCACTTTGGGAGGCCGAGGCGGGCGGATCACAAGGTCAGGAGATCGAGACCATCCTGGCTAACACAGTGAAACCCCGTCTCTACTAAAAATACAAAAAATTAGCCAGGCGTGTTGGTGGACGCATGTAGTCCCAGCTACTCGGGAGGCTGAGACAGGAGAAGGGTATGAACCCAGGAGGCGGAGCTTGCAGTGAGCCGAGATGGCGCTACTGCACTCCAGCCTGGGCGACAGAGTGAGACTCCGTCTCAAAAAAAAAAAGACTGCTACCTCCCCTCTCTCTGTTGCTTTCTCTCTCACCCTATGGTCTCTGCACACACAGGCTTCCGTTTGCCCTCCGCCATGAGTGGAAACAGGTTGAGGCCCTCATCAGAAGTAGATGTTGGTGCTGTGCTTCTTGTACGGCCAGCAGCCAAATGAAACTCTTTTATTTATAAATTACCCAGCCTTGGGTATTCCTTATAGTAACACAAGCAGACGAAGACATTTAGTATTGTCTTTTGTATTTCACCCTTCTGGCGGCTGTGCAATAGTTTTAATTTTTATTTCCCTGGTGACTAATGAGGCTGTATGCTTTTTCTTAAGCTTTTTCACCGTTTGGATATGGTTTTCTCGTGATGGGCCTATTCATATCTTTGGCCCATTTTTCTTCTGTCTTTGTATTGATTTGTAGATGTCAATACAAAGATAGAGATATCAAACCTATAATGTAATGCAAGTATCCTCTCCCACTCTGTGAAATGCCTTTTCACTCTCTTGGTGGTGTTTCTTGATGAAAAGCAGTTCTTAATTTTAATGACACCCAAATGATCAGTCTTTTCTTTTATGGTTAGGGCTTTAAGTCCTGTCTAAGAAATCATTGCTGTCCCAAAGTCATGAATATATTCTCCTTTATTGTCTTCTAAAAGCATTTTGCTTTGCCTTCCACCTTTATATTAGCAATTCACTTAATCTTTTGTATTATTCAAAGTTAATTTTTTTTGAGACAGGGTCTTGCTCTGTCACCCAGGCTGCATGATCATGGCTCACAGCAGCCTCAACCTCCCAGGCTCAAGTGAGCCTCCTACCTCAGCCTCCCAAGTGTGAATAGCTGGCACTACAGGCATGAGCCACAATGCTTGGCTAATTTTTGTAGTTTTTGTAGGTGTGGGGTTTCTCCACATTGCCCAGGTTAGTCTCAAACTCTTGAGCTCCAGTGATGCACCTGCCTCGGCCTCCCAAAGTTCTGGGATTACAGCGTGAACCACTGTGCCTGGGCAAAAGTTAATTTTTTTTTTTTTTTTTTTTTGAGACAGAGTCTTGCTCTGTCACCCAGGTTGGAGTGCAGTGGCTCCATCTCACCTCACTGCAACCTCTGCCTCCTGGGTTCAAGCAATTCTCCTGTCTCAGCCTCCCGAGTAGCTGGGATCACAGGCATGAGCCACCACGCCCAGCTAATTTTTGTATTTTTAGTTGAGATGGAGTTTCGCCATGTTGGCCAGGCTGGTCTCGAACTCATCCTCAGGTGATCCACCTCCCTCGGCTTCCCAAAGTGCTGGGATTACAGGCATGAGCTACTGCACCCAACCCAAAAGTTAATTTTTTAAAAATGATAAAATTATGAACTTTCATACAGACATGAAAATAAACATATTAAAATTTTATTTCACTTATTATTGAGAAAAATTAGTAAGGTGTTACAACCAGTTCAAAGGTGAATCCAAAGAATAGACACATTTAGAGACCAGAAATATTGAAATGAATACGCAAATGGAGGCAAAGCTGGTTTTTCTGGAGGAGGGGGCAGGGAGTGTCCCTCCACTAGACAATTTGCTTTTATGAATTTTGCATTGCTATCAATTGTCTACCAGACACAGAACTGTAAAACAGCTACCACAGAATCAAAATCAGATAATCCAGAGAATGTGCTATAGATAATGCAGTTTTCCAATGAAGCACAAAATTTTCCCTACCACATAGTATCTGTTGGGACCAAGATTCATTTTTCCCCATATGAGTACTGAAAGAACCCAAAAGATTTCACTCCAAAATGTACTTTGGCATTTAAAAAAAGTTTTTTGAGACAGGGTTTCACTCTGTCACCCAGGCTGGAGTGCAGTGGCACCATCTCTCACTGCAACCTCCGCCTCCCAGGTCCAGGTGATTCTCCTGCCTCAACCTCCCAAGTAGCTGGGATTACAGGCATGCATCACCACACCCGGCTAATTATTATTATTATTATTTTTTGAGACAGAGTCTTGCTTTTTTTGTCATTGCCCATGCTGGAGTGCAGTGGCACAATCTCGGTTCACTGCAACCTTCACCTCCTGGGTTAAAGCGATTCTCCTGCCTCAGCCTCCCAAGTAGCTGGGATTACAGGCATGAGCCACCACACCTGGCTAACTTTTGTATTTTTAGTAGAGATGGGGTTTTGCCGTATTGGCCAGGCTGGTCTTGAATTCCTGACCTCAGCTGATCCGCCAACCTCAGCCACCCAAAGTGCTGGGATTACAGGCATGAACCACCGCGCCAGGCCTAATTTTTGTATTTTTAGTAGAGACAGGGTGTCACCATGGTGGCCAGGCTAGTCTCGAACTCCTGGCCTCAAGTGATCTACCTGCCTTGGTCTCCCAAACTGTTGGGATTACAGGTGTAAGCCACCGTGCCCAATCTTAAATCTTTTTTGAGACAGCATCTCTCTCTGTCCCCCGGGCTGGAGTGCAGAGATGCAATCACAGCTCACTATGGGCTCCAGCAATCTTCCCACCTCAGCCTCCCAAAGTATTGGAGTTACAAGCATGAGCCACCACATCCGGCCTAGTTTGACCAGCCTATTTTGAGATGGTTGTTCAGAGGACCTGTGGACAGAAGGAGTCCTACCAAGTTGTCTTTTTTTTTTTTTTTTAAGATGGAATTTCACTCTGTAGCCCAGGCTAGAGTGCAGGGGCACCATCTCAGCTCACTGCAGCCTCTACCTCCTAGATTCAAGCAATTCTCCTGCCTCAGCCTCCTAAGTGGCTGAGGTTATGGCGCCCTCCACCACACCCGGCTAATTTTTGTATTTTTAGTAGAGATGAGGTTTCACCATGTTGGTCAGGTTGGTCTCGAACTCCTAACCTCAAGTGATCTGCCTGCCTAGACCTCCCAAAGTGCTGGGATTACAGGCATGAGCCACCGCGCCCAGCCCCAAGCTGTCTTTCATGAGGGAGATTTGCATCGGTTGAGAATCTGTGTGATACAGTCAGGCTTTCTCTGAAGTCCTTCCTTGCCTGGATCCAGGAAAGATGAACACCATTAAAGGTCTGAAAGGAACATTTACCACCTATTCTCTCTGAAGGCTCCTACCTGTGAGATCTCCGTATAACAAGACACCTTTGCTAGCCAGTCACCTCTTCTCTCCCTCCCATAACCTATTTTGCCACCAATCCAAGCCCCTATTCTTTCTGTAACTTCAAGATAGTATAAAAGTATCAATGATATTTTTCTTTGAGATCTTATATTTTGATAAGATTCCTGTTCATGTTAAAAAATTTGTAGGCCATTTCTCTTCCTAATCTGCTTTTTGTGAGTTGATTTTTCAGTGAACTTTCAGAGGGTAGAGGGGAAGTTTTTCCTCAGCCCCTACAATATCCCATAGACCCAGTGCCATTTATTGAATAACCCAGTTTTCCCCTATCAGCTTGTCAATATCATGTTTCTGAACTCTATTCTGTTCCCTGGTCTATTTCATTATTACTGAACCAATACCATACTGTCTTAATTACCACAGTTTCATAACATATCTTAATATCTAGTAGTGTAAAGTCTTCAGCTTTGTACTTCCTCTGTCAAGATTTATCAGCTATTCTTAGA